TGCTTGTTTGTATGTGTATTTCATTTAATTTGAGCTAATAACAACAAAGTGATTGAAAAGAGAACAAGATAGACGTACTTGAAAATAGAATTTTTATTCATCAATTAATGAGAGTGAATAATAAGTAGATTCGACTGCATGAATCTCTTAGTCTATCATAGAGAAAACAAAAGGAAAGAAACAAAACAAGACCTAGGGTGCTACATCTTGAATTGTTGACAACTTCTTGAGATTGCGTCTTCAAGCTTTGTCCGTTTCCAACGTAGGTGAGATCTTCTCTAAAAATCTAGTCCATCTATATGATTCATGGTTTCATTTATCAAGTCCCTTTCAATTAATATTCCCATAGTATAGACTTTAGGAAATGTATCTAAACCAAGGTATTGTAAATGGCACTTGTATGGTGGAGACATGTTGTCCATGAACTTTGGGACAAGTTCATGATCTGGAGGTCTTTGTGTAAGAAGAGCAACCTTTGATCGCTACCCAGAAAAGAAGTCAATAAACACTACAGCGAAAATAAACTTTAGCGGTGTTTATATAGTGACATTTATTACAAATGCCACCTAAGCCCGTGAGTAGCAATCCAAATGAATAACTTTGGACGACATTTGTATATAAAATGTCGTTAGAGCCCAAATTTCAGTTCACGGGCTTGTTGTACTTGTGGCACTTGAAACAAATTATCCGCAGTTTCTATTGCACTCTCGGAGTACCATGCTCACGCTACTCCGGGATTAAAAACAACAACGTTATTTTTTTTTTAAAAAAAAGGCAGATATGCATAAACAGGGAATAGGAGAGAGAAAGTGCGATTAAAATTAGGGATTATAAAACCCTAAATTAGTAAATTGAGTTGGGGAAAGGGAAAAAAAAAAAGAGAGAGAAACTTAAAAAGCATATTTGATTGTCATTAATGATGGCGGATTGAAGAAGGAGATAAGTGCGAAGAAGACAATCAAACAAAAGCAACAGAATAAAACTAAATGTACAGAATAACGTTAAATTATTGAAAGAATAACATAAGGTTATATACAAAGTAACACAATATAACAATATAAATAACATGATTTAGTAACATAATTATATTTTTATCAAAATAACATATGGTGTCTGTAAAATAACACATTGTTTTAAACAAATAACACTAGAACATAATTGAATAATAGAAGCCTAAGAAGCAAAATAACATTAGGTTTTAAGTAAAATAATTTCATTTAATTTACAAAATAACATTCACCTCCACTACTTTCAAAGACTAAAATAACATAGATTAAACACAAAATAACATAAGATCTAAAGAACAGTAACATCATCTTGAGATAATAGTAGCCTAAAATGAAAATATAGAAGCGAAATTTGTTTATCTCCTTTTTCATCTTCATCTACTACATCTTATCTCCATGTATTAATTGAATATTAAATTTTAAAAAATACAAAAATTATCACAAATTCAACACTAATTAGAAAAATAATTTACAATTATTCAAAAAAACTTACTTCATGTAATAATTTATGTTAGTTTTGGACTTGCTTGAGTAGAAACTTTGTCTGTAATGGATGCAATTGAAGATTTTTTAATCCATTTTTTAAATGAAGAAACTGTAATTTCAAACGGAGAGGGAAAAAAAAAAGTGAGTGGAGAGAGAAATAAAATGATTTGATTTTTGGTCCATCTTTCTTATATATAATTTAAGTTATTTCATTTTCTTTATTTATTATTTCGTAGAATAAAATTTCACATGCGCTTCTTTTAGTTGGGGTTTTTAGCCCATTAATTTAGATTGGCCTGGAATTTGATTTAGATTGGCCTGGAGTACAATAGTTACTCCAAGTGTACCGTATACTAATTGCAAATTTTCACGCTCCTAAAGCAAAAGCCCCAATATTTTATTCTCTCTCTCTCTCTCTCTCTCTCTCCCACTGTTTGCTGGTTCAGGTGCTCTCTTCTCCTTCCATGGTGTTCATCTTCTTCTTCCTTTCCTCTATCATCCTTTTCCTTTTTTTTTTGATTTTTACATTTTCACTTACCATCCTTCTTTAAAGTTGGATCTTCTCTACTTCTAATTTTGTAATTCATTTTCTAGGGTTTGGGTACTTGCGGTCTGCTATTGGAATTCTGGAGGTAAGCTTATGAATTACTTTTTTTCTCCTTCTTCTGTTGTTTTTCATACCCAATTTCATTTTTTTCAAACCCCTTCATGTGAAATTCGTGAAAATCCCTTCTAGTAACATACTTACTAAGTTAAATAAAGGCTCCATAAAAATCAGTATATTTGATTCAATAACTTACTAAGTAGCAGTTCATTATAATTCTTATATCATTCTTTGAATAATCATAGGAAATTTTAGTTGTAGAATGAACAATTTGACATAGATTAAACATTAATTTAGATTATTTAAATTTCCCAAAACACCTGATGTATTCGTGAAAGTTTTGTGGGTATGTTTGACAAAAATTGTGGGTAGGTGGAGGAAACTACTTATAAGTTTCAGAAGAAGCTATTCAATTGGTAGATTAAGAGTGTTACTTGCAGCAAGATTCTCAAGGTATATTCACATCCTTTATTATTTCAATATTGAGACATTCTATGATTTGCTGTTATTTGAGATATGCTACTAATTAATAGTTGATAGATTTATTTTGCATTGTGTTTATAAATTAGCATTTAACATTATGTAGGAAATTAGGAATAAAATGAATTCATTTACTCAGTGTAAATGATAAAAAGCAGGTTATATGAGTGCTAGCTTTATTTTTCCTCGGCGATTGCAAATATTTGAGCGGGTATGAATTCCATTAATTTATGAAAATTTTGTAGTTTGTCTAATCCTTTTTCGTGTATGTGATGTTGGCTTTCCTGTGTGTGTGAACCCCATATTTTTGAACTTTCGTCTTGGTTGTGACCCTTTAGTTATTGGACTTTGATAGGCGGTCGCACACCTAGCAAAAATAACCTAACTAACCACTACTATGTAGACAGGCAAGTAAGGGTCGAATCCCAAGAAACTAAAGTTCAACTAATTAATTAGACTCAAATTCTTACTTGGCAATAATCAACAATGATCGAATAACTAAAGAACTAATGTATGGAAAATCGAAAATAAACTAAGGAATATGATAATCAAATAATTAAAACATCCAAGATCTAGTATCACCACAATTACGCTTGATGCAATTATATTTCTACCCCTGACATACGATTCCAATTGAAAGGGAAAAAGTAAACCCTAATTAATACCAAGGACCTTTCTCGAGTATCAATGACTTCCCTAACATACAATCAAGCCTATTCTCATGGTATCATGCACATTAGAGACATTAAACACATTACTCTAACTTCCTAATTATCAACCCAACTATTCTCATGTTGAAAATCAAACCCTAAATTAATCTACTCAAATCCGTTTTAAACCCAACTCTCGCTGTGTTAGAAACAATGGTAGTTAGATTGTGCTAGGTGTGCAAACCGCCTATCAAATTTTGGCGCCGTTGCCGGGGACTAACTGATAACTTGCTATTTTATGCGGTTTTAGGGCGTATTTGAACCTAGTTTACCTGAACAAATTTGTGTTTTGGTTCACTTTTACCCTATTATTATGCAATTTTTGTGTATCCTATGCTTCACGGGTTGTTTAGTGTTTTTGTTGAGATTTTAGGTCCAAAGACGACCAAATGAAGCCCATGGTTACCAAACCGAGGTTAGAAGCAAGGAAATGATGGAAAGAATCCAAGTACAAGAGCATCGTAGAAGAAAACACGAAGAAAAGGGCCCAGAAGACCCTGCACGACCGTGCAAGATGTTGCACGTCCGTGCAGGAGTGCAGACCTGAACCCATCTTTCTGCCAAGGCCAGCACGGACGTGCCAAATATTGCACGTCCGTGCAGATGATGCAACACGGACGTGCTTCCGTGATTATGAGGCAGCACGGACGTGCCAAATATTGCACGTCCGTGCAGATGATGCAGCACGGACGTGCCAAAGGTGCACGCCCGTGCTGCAGCAGGTCGTCTTAAACTGAGTTTCTGCCTTGGTCTGCACGGACGTGCCAACTTCAGCACGTCCGTGCAGACCTACAGTTTACCCGTTTCTTGTTTTCTCCGTCCTCTTATTTTAGGGGGTAGTATAAATAGCCCCTTTGGACCATTTTAGAGGGGTTCCCAATTTTTTCAGATTTTCATACTCCTCTTAGTTTGAAACACAAAAATCCTCAAATTAGCATAGATTTTAGTTCTTGTTTTGAAGGTTTCAATCCAATCATTGTAGAAGACAAGTTCCACCATTGTTAGTCAATTATTGAAGCTTCTAGTAATTTTTCTTACTCTTTCTTTCTCTCTTCTATCTTTAATTCTTGCTTTTTATTAATTGTTTGGTTGTTCTTTGCATGTTTAATTCTTAGATTCTACTTAATTCTTAGTTTTAATTTGTTCATGAATTCCTTGAAATCTTTAATTGCTTTAACTTCCATGGATTGTGAGTAGTCTAATTTCTAGGGTTTGGGTGAACCCTCAATGTAATCACCAACACTTGTTGCATGTACTAATTTGTTAATTGTGGGGTGTTAATTAGTTGAGTTTAAGAGGTTTCATTGTTAATTCTTGTAATTGGCCATTGCTTGAATTATTTATCTAGCTTCCTCAACGAAGGATCGAGAGATGAACTTGAGGAAGCTCCCTTATGCTTGATTGACTTGATTTGCCATGAGAATAGGAATTTCTAGTCAAGGGAATTTACCATGTTATCGTGAGGATGTTTTAACACTTGTTTCTTGCCCATAATCACGAGAGTAGGTTATGGTTTTGATGTCAAGTAATCCCTCTAGCTTGAGAGAGTAGTTGGGTGCATTTGATAACTTCCCCTAATTTATCCCCTAAATCACCATTTCTATGCATGCTACTTTGTGGTCCGTGATGAAGTTGAGTGGTGTAACCCATGCCCTAGGCCTTCTTAATATTGTTAATCACCTCTTAGAATTAGTTGATTTGAATTAGAATAGTGTGACGTAATACCAACTTAAAACCCCCGACTTAATCTAGCTTGTTTAAACAATAACATTTGGTTGATTCAACGCCTCTCATGGGTTCGACCCTTTCTTGCCCTTGCTACTAGTTTAGTAGGATCGAGTTAGGTCTTATTTCTTGATAGGTTGACGACCCTACCCACGGTTGCCGAAAAATGTTGGGATTGTGAGATGTTGATATTTTTATTCCTTCCGAAACAGGTTTGACGTTTTCCTTAGCTTTGTTTGACTGTGCATGACACGGAGGAGTAAGCAATCACCGCTTATCCCCGTAGATCCGGAGTTAAATAGAACTTTGAGGAACGTAAGAAGGCTCCTACAAGGCACGCCGGATTTTTCTCTAGCTTATACGGATTCCGAGTCGGAGGATAATCTTGACAACGAGCAAGAGATGGCCAACCCACCGCCTCCTCCACTTCTACAAGACTATGACCACCCCGATGCATTCCAACTTTGGAGTGGCATACTTCTTCCCACCACCAATGCAAACAACTATGAGTTCTCTCCTCAACTCATAAGGATGATCCAAAGTGAACAGTTCGGGGGGAGTGCAAATGAGTGCCCTCTAGCTCATTTAGACAACTTCCTTGAGTTGTGCACTACATTAAGCAAAACAACCTCACGGAGGAATTCATTTGGATGCATATGTTTCGGTTCTCTCTTAGGGACAAGGCTAAGTGTTGGTTGAGGTCCGTGAAAGAAGGATCCTTAACAACATGGGAAGAGGTTACCAAAGCATTTCTTGGGAAGTTTTGTCCGCCCGAAAAGACCGCGTAATTGAGAAGGAAGATTACAAGCTTCACTCAAGAGGATGATGAAACCTTAGGTGAAGCATGGGAAAGATTCAAGGATCTAAAGAGGAAGTGTCCACACCATGGGTTGCCTTTATGGATGATTATTCAAAGCTTCTACGACGGTCTCACTCCTACCTCAAGGGCCAATCTTGACAACGGAGCCGGTGGTAGTCTTAAAAAGCTACCGGTGGAAGAAGCCGAGAATATGATTGAAGAAGTTGCAAGGCATTACGCCTATAGATATGATAGAAGAGAAAGTCAACCGAAGAAGAAAGGTATGCATGAGTTGAGTGCAATAGATCTCATTGCCTCAAAGTTTGATATTCTAGCTCACAAGCTAGACCAAGCAACCTCCTCAAGCGGTACCTCCTCTTCACAACCACAACCACAAGTCATGTCTTGTGAGACTTGTGGGGGTAATGATCACATGGCTTCATATTGCAATGCTACTAATGAGCAAGTTGCGGCCGTGAACCAAAGAAATGAGCAACCTTTCAATCAAGGTTGGAGGCAACAAAACCAAGGGTGGATACAACCCAATCAAAACCAACAATCCTACTACAACAACCCTCCTCAAAACATCTACAACCAAAATCAACAAAATCACCAAGCCCCATACCGCCATCCAAACCAACAAAGACAGCAATTAACCCAACAACCTCCTCCACCCCAAAAGACTTCCCTTGAGGCTGCTCTTGAGTCTTTCATAAATCAACAAGGGAAGAGCAATGCAGAAATGAGCTCCAACATCCAACAACTTCAAGCGCACAACAAAATAATTGAGAATCAACTAGCTCAAATTGCACAACAAGTTGGGAGTTCTAACCTCCAATGCTAGTGGTCAATTTCCAAGCTCAACGGTTGTGAACCCGAAGGAGCATGTCAAGGCTATCACATTGAGGTCCGGGAGAGGGTATGAAGGTCCGGTAATGAGTGAAGATGTTGCCACAAAAGAGAGATGAGGGTGTGGAGGTGAGAAGTGAGAAATGATGTTGAAAATGAGGTGGTAGAAGTTGAGAGAAAAGAAAAAGAAAAGAGTGTTGAGGGAGACATAAAGAAAGGAGAGGGAGTTGAAGTTGAAGTGGAGAAACCCCCAATGAGAGTCTACAAGCCACCTATTCCTTTCCCTCATAGGTTGGTAGAGAAAAAATTGAATGAGAAGTTTTCAAAGTTCCTTGAGGTCATGAGACGGCTCCAAGTGAACATTCCCTTTCTTCATGCTATGTCACAAATGCCTACATATGCGAAATTTTTAAAAGATCTCTTGTCCAACAAAAGTAGGCTTGAAGAGAGTGCAAACCATCTCCCTTCCAATGGAGGTGAGCGCAATCATTCAAAACAAGCTTCCCCGAAAGCTTGGTGACCCGGGTAGCTATGCAATTCCGGTGAAGATTGGAGATATGGAAGCCATGGATGCTCTTTGTGATCTTGGGGCAAGTGTAAGCTTGATGCCCTTCTCAATTGCGAAAAATTTAAAAGTTGGTGAGATGAAGCCAACAAGAATCTCAATACAATTAGCCGATCGTTCGGTTAGATTACCAATGGGAATACTTGAAGATGTACCGGTACAAGTGGGAAGAGTTTTTGTACCTTGTGACTTTGTGGTGATGGAAATGGAGGAGGACAACAAGGTTCCTCTCATTTTGGGAAGGCCGTTCTTGAACACGGCGGGAGTGGTAATTGATATGAAACAAGGCAAGCTAACATTGAATGTGGGAGATGAGAAAATTTCTTTCTCATTCTCGCAAGCCATGAGGAAGCCTATGTATGAGGATATCAATAGAATCGATACTCTTGACCGAGAAGTGGAGGAATTGAAGATGATGAACAATAGCAAAGATACTCTACAAGCGATCCTCACGGAAAGTTTGTACAATGATGATGATGAAGCTAAGGGGTACAAGTTGTTGCTAGACCAACCCCTACATGGCAAGGCAAGGGAGTTTGAAGCACTTAAGGTGGAGGTAAAGAGGAGAGGTCTACGCCTCCTCCTAAGGTTGAACTTAAACCCCTTCCCCCTTCACTTAAATACGTTTTTCTTGATGATAATGAGACTTATCCCGTTATTGTCAATACCAACCTTGATGACACTTCCCTTGAGAAACTCCTAGTTGTGTTGAGGGAGTATAGGAGTGTCATTGGGTATGCCATTGATGACATTAAGGGGATAAGTCCCACGATATGCATGCACAAGATTTTGCTTGATAATGATCATGACTCCTCAATTGAGCACCAAAGAAGGCTCAACCCCAACATGAAAGAAGTTGTTAAAAAAAGAGGTTTTGAAACTTCTTGAAGCGGGCATAATCTACCCTATCTCCGATAGCAAGTGGGTTAGCCCGGTTCAAGTTGTTCCAAAAAAAGGGGGCATGACCATTATCAAGAACGATAAGGGTGAGACCATTTCTACAAGGTCGGTCACCGGGTGGAGAATGTGCATAGACTATCGAAAATTGAACAAATCCACTCGGAAGGACCACTTCCCTCTCCCCTTTATCGATCAAATCTTGGAAAGGTTGGCATCACATAGTCACTATTGCTTCTTGGATGGGTATTCGGGATTCCTCCAAATCCCTATCCTACCCGAG